GTTTTTTTTTTTTTTTTTTTTTCTGAGACAGAGTCTCACTATGTAGTTCAGACTGCTCTGGAACTTATTATGTAGCCCAGGCTGGTCTCGAACTCGCAGCAATCCTCCTGCTTCAGCCTCCCGAGTGCTGGGATTACAGGCATGCGCCACCATGCCTGGTTTAGAGATTCTTGAACATGCTTTTTTTTTTGTACTGGGGATTGAACTCAGGCCCTTGCACTTGGCAGGTAGGCAGAGTTGAACATGTGATTTTTGAGGTCAGAATTACTGTTGCTTTTGTTTGTTTTGTTTTTGTTTTTAAGTCAAGGTCTTGCTGTGTAGTTTAGTCTGGCCTCAAACTCAATATGTAGCTCAGGCTGGTCTTGAACTCTCAGTGATCCTCCTGCCTCAGCCTCCTGAGTGCTGGGATTACAGGCATGTGCCACCACACCCGGGTCATAAAACATATATTTGATTAACTTTTTTCAAAAAATAAATGTTTCTTTCGACATGTATCCTGAACTGGTTTCTATTTTCTAGGATGATTATAGTTATTTAAAATTTTAAGCTTAGTGATTCTGATATGAACTCATAATAATAGTTTGGGCCCTGTTGAACACATGCATTGAGAAGTAGATTATTGTAGTAGAGACCACCTAAGTGCATGAGAACATGCCTAGAAAAAGTGTCTTCTCCATTGGGATATTGTAGAAATGATCACTGAAAAAAGTAATCCATGCTATTATATAGTTTACTGAATTATTATTTGGTGTAAAATGTTTGTTTTATGTATTTTTTTCTGGTAATGGAAATCAAAACCAGGGCCATGTCCATGTTAGGCAAGCGCTCTGCCACTAACCTGTGTCCTCAGCCATGTATTTAATTTATAAATATACAGTGTATATTTACTTGTAATAGTTTTGCTGGCAGTTTTGGTCTCTAGTTCATATGATCAGCCTCTGTGTAGAGGAATGTGTAAGAGTCGTATGCTGTTATCAGAAGCGTGGCTGTCATTGGTGTATTAGCGTGGATAAGTTAGAGAAGCTTGAAAGTTCTAACTACAGAGCATGAAAGTTGTGTAGATATAAAAAGCAAAAGAGGAAGCCTGGCATGGTGGTATACGCCTGTAATCCCAGTACTTGGAAGGCTGAGGCAAGGGGATCTCTGAGAGCTAGGCCAAGCCTAGGGGAGGTAGTGAGTTCAAGGTCAGCCTGAACTACATAGGGAGAGCCTGTCTCAAGAAAAATTAAAAAAAAAAAGAAGAAGCCTTGTTATCAAATTTTAAGAAATCCTATATGATGTTATTAATGCACTGATCTTTTTATTTAAAGACATAATTTCTTAAAACTATAAGTAATGGTGAAATATATTTTTGAGTACAGTGATCTCTATCCTGACCCCCATTGTGTACTTGGACCCAGCCCATACCTCCCTGTTATCCAGCTGGTCTCCAGCCCCGTTCTGCCTCCACCTCTCAGCAGCTGGGACTCCCTGTGCCACTGTGCTTAACTTCTCCGTATGCGTTGGAAGCCACCGGCCTGTCAGGCATTGTTGAATTTTATTTCCTTTCTGAAAAACTTCTGTTTATTTTAAACTTTGATTTTTTAAAAATAGCAGTGATACAGATTTTTGCATTCTCCAAACCTGTTGAATTGGACTTTGCTGAATGATGGCTAAGATAGTTTACATTCTTTTTCAAAATTTATTATCCTGTATTTCACAAAGTGTAGTGGGCCACATCCTCGTGGTCCTCAGCCCATCATGCTGCATCTTTGTGGAACTCCCTTGTGCCACAACTCCCCAGTGACAGCTGCCCATCCTGATGTCCAACTGGGTGGTGCCTTGGGAGAGCTGGACACTGTGCAGAGCGCTAGTCAGGGCTGAGAAACACGTGGTGATTGCATGGTACTGCATTACCCAGTGTCAGAATATTAAAAAAATTACAGTTTTTCATATTTCAAAGGAAAATGCTTTTTATTTGTGATTGGTTTATTTAATAAGTTTTCAGAAGTCAATCCATTTGGGCCACTGGTCCTTTTGTTGCAGTGTCCTCGTAAAGAATGAGCCCAGTTGTTTCTTTGTTTTGGCTTTTTGAGAAAAGGACTCCCTATGTAATTCCACCACAAACTCACATCGGCTGGCCTTAAACTAACATTGATCCTCCTGCCTCAGCCTCCCAGGTGCTGAGATTGCAGGGTTTAAGCCTGGTCATTTTCAACCTTGATTACCTTCCTGCATATCTCTGACATGGAGGAATGGCTGAGATTCATTTTTCTGACATGGCAAAAAGTATCATGGGCTGCAGGATCCTGACTGCATGGCCTGCTGACGCCCTGGGCCGAGCAGTAGTGGCCGGTGGGGCTGTCTCTGGAGATAACTGTGCCATAAGTTAGCAATGTTGAGATTGCATTTTTAAGATGAAGTCATTATATTTGTTTATGTTGAAATTGTGTGCATTGTTTTCTTTTTTCCAGTAAGAAAATCTTTTTTGAGTTATAACAAAACCATTTGGGGCCCTTTAGAACTGGTGGAAAAGTTGTACCCAGAAGCAGAAGAAATAGGAGCTAGTGTCCGGGATTTACCAGGTCTTAAGTAAGTCACCTCATTCATTTCTCATCTTTCCCCACAAAAATCTCTTTACTATTCCTTAAAAAGTAGCGCTCTCTCTCTCTCTCTTTTTTTTTTAGTCAGGATCTATGTCATTCAGGCTGGCCTTGAGTTCACTGTGTAGCCCGTGCTGGCCTAGAACTCATGGCTGTTCTCCTGCCTCAGCCTCCCAGCTGCTGGGAAAGAATAATTTCTTCCAAGTTTAAAATATTACTTAGGTGTTCTACAGGAGCAGATTTGCCTACCTGCAAGCGGTTGGGCTAATTGCTCAAAAAGCAGGCTTGAATCTATAAAAGGAAAAACAAAACCATGATAAAATTTCCCTTATCTTGGTTGATGTGTGGCTTGGCAGAGCTAGAACAGGCAGCTGTGCATCTCCGGGTGGAAGGCTGCTTTCTGACCACTGGCCCCTTCCTCCTAGGACCCCACTGGGCCGTGCACGGGCCTGGCTGCGGCTGGCCCTCATGCAGAAGAAGATGGCTGACTACCTGCGTTGCTTGATCATTCAGCGGGATCTCCTGAGGTCAGCACCTGAGCCCTGCTCGTTTCTTTGTTTTATTAAGTCCTGTCTTCGCAGAGGGGTTGGAGATGTAGAATGTAATGTTGTATAAGATGCAGTAAGATGGCACAAAGCATAAGGAGGAGCAAAGTGAGAGAGAATGTGATAGGGTCTAACAGGGTCAGGAAGGAACCCAAGATATAAGCACTGTCAGCTTTTTACCAGCTGGTAAGGAGATGTGTGTGTTATGTTTTTGTTTCCATTCTTTTGTGAGATGAGAATGACCATACTTCAAGCACTGCAATCTGTCAGTGACCTCAAGCTTAACTGAGGCAATTAAATAATATCCTTGGCACTTATTAGGAAGGCATAAGAGAGTGGTAACTATTTCTCTGAATATATATTGACAAATCTTAGTTTTAGGTGTTACTTAGGCTGCCCCTGAATTTGCAATGATCCTCCTGCCTCAGCCTCCTGAGTGCTGGGATTACAACCATGTGCCACCTGGCATTATTTATTGTTTGAGACAGAGTCTCATTATATAGCTCTTGCTGGCCTTGAACTCACTAGGTAGCCCAAGCTGGCCACAAACTCAACCATCCACCTACTTCATCCACCTGAGTGCTAGGATTACAAACATGTGCTACCATGGCTGGCGATTTTTAATTTACTTTTTTCAGTACTGGGGATTTAACCCAGGGTCTTGGACCTGATGGGCCAGCACTCTACTGTTGAACCCTTTTTTATCTTTTTTTAAATTTTTTTATTTTTTTGGTACCAGGGATTGAACTCGGGTCCTTGCGCTTATAAGGCAGGCCACCGAACCGCTGAGCTAAATTCCCAGCCCATGAACCCTTTTTTAAAACTTCATTTGAGACATGGTCTCACTAAGTTGCCTAGGCCAGGCTTGAATTTTTTTTTGTACTGGGGCTCGAACTTGGGACCTTGAGCTTGTGAGGCAGGTGGTAGAACCATTGAGATAAATCCCTGGCCCTCAGCCTTGAATTTTTGATCCTCCTGTCTCAGCCTTCCAAGCAGCTGGGATTACAGATATTCCCTGTCCCCTTCTACTTGTCTTTTACTCTCTTTCCTTCTCTTTTTGCTCAAAAATTCTTTTCTTAATTAAGTTAGCATGTAGAAAGGCTGATTTAAATGTACCAAACTTACATCCAGGGATCCAGTTCAGTGTAACACCCAGCATCATGAGGCCCTGGCTCCAGTTGCCAGCACTGCAAAAAGTAAAAGCATGAAAATAAAACAAAGATACCCAAGTTTGATTACTTCCATATCCATAACATAAAGTACTAAGATTGTAAAATTTAGTTTTAGAAATAATGTGATTTTAGCTTTTTGTTCTTGTGATTTCATAGTGAGTTCTATGAGTATCATGCACTGATGATGGAAGAGGAGGGAGCCGTGATTGTTGGGCTGCTGGTTGGCCTGAACGTGATAGATGCCAATCTGTGCGTAAAGGGAGAGGATTTGGATTCCCAAGTAAGTACCCATGGCTGGGGCCACACACAATTTGCAGTTTCCTTGATGCTGGTTGCTCTCAGTTGTGGTCTATTAAACACTGAAGAAAGATAAAGAGTGAAGTTCAGTTGCATGTTAGTGGGGCTTCTGATGAGGTATTATTTCTCCCTTTAAATAAAAATAATTTTATTAACTTCAGGTTGGAGTGATTGATTTTTCCATGTATTTAAAGAATGAAGAAGATATTGGAAACAAAGAAAGGTAGGATTTTTCCCAAGTTCTTTCACATGTTGTATTTTTTTTCTTTTGGAACTAGGGATCAAGCTCACTCAAGGCAGGCATGGCTGAGCCAACCCCCTCGCTCACATGTTGCATTTTTGAATGCAGCCCTTCACAGATTGCTTTGACATCCATTCATTTACTCTGTGTGTGTATATGCGTGTGTGTGTGTGTGTATGGCTTTGTTTCATTTTCATTTCCTTTACGTTTTACAAAACAAATAGGGAAAAATCAGTTAAAAGAAGCTGACTCTGATACAAAGTAGGATTTTTGGTTATACCTGTGAGACCTATTTTAATAGCTGTGTTTTGTGCTAATGCTAGTTATTTCATGATCTAATTGTATTTAAAATATACTGATATGTTGAGCCTAGTATTAGCAAGCAGTTTACTCAACAAAGGTTGTAGTTACTCAGGACATAGCTTACCGCTAAGTGATTACAGAAGTTCTTGAATTTTACCCAGGTGTGGTGATGCACACCTATAATCCCAGGACTGTGGGAGGCTGAGGCAGGAGGATGGCTAGTTCAAACCCAGTTTGGGTGACTTAGCAGGGGTTTGGGGCTTAAAAGGGGCTGTGAGTAAAGCTCAGTGTGAAGGTCCTGGGTTTGATCCCTAGTACTACCAGAGGAAAAAAAGACTCTTGAATTTTGTTTTAGATGATTTAGTATGTTTTTCACCTTTCCAACTATCACAAAGCTGCTCCCTCTCTCCCAGGAATGTTCAGATTGCTGCCATCTTGGACCAGAAGAATTATGTTGAAGAATTAAATAGACAGCTCAAGTAAGTATTGCAATATTTAACATATTTATATTGTCTTAGGCATTTATTTTGTTTTCAGCTTAACCCTGTACCTTTCTTCTAAGAGAAAGGTTTGAAGGGAGAGAACAGAAATTAAGAACACAAAGAATTATTGGAGGGAATTTTCAGCAGAAAATGAGAGTATGATTTTAAATAGAAACTTTATTAAATTTAGATAGAATTTTAAAACTTGTCCCTGTACCTTAGGGAAAAAAAGGCCTAGGTGAAGTGATGTTCATACTATTTGGATGGCTCAGAGCTCATTTTTTCCTCCCTCAAAGGGCTGTGTGCAGAAATGCAGCTGTCGTGGTCCGGGTGACGTTTCTCCTCTTCCCATTGGCTCATGGAAGCCATCAGAGGCTGCTGTGCCTGAGGGGTGTGAAACTACACAAAGCAGAAACAGTGCGAGGTGGAGGCACTGAGGGTCTGCTAACTACATCAGTATTTTTAAATTAGTAGCTTAGTTGACCCAACGTGCCCTAATTACCACTTTAACCTCAGTATAAAATTATGAAGATATTTTGCTTTTGGGGGCATTTTCTTCAAAACCTGCTGTGTATTTTATACATGATGCACCTTGCAATTCAGACTGGCCACATCCTGAGTGCTTTGTAGCAATGTGTGGCTCGTGGCTGCTATACTGTTGCTACATAATTAGAAATGGGCCATTCTCATCACTTAAATTTAGGAATTAGTGAAAGTGGCTTTCTCTGGGTGATGAGATTACAAATAATTAGGAATAATTTTTATTTCATTCTTTGTAATTTTCTGTATTTTCTGAGTTCTACTCAAAGAACATTGTATTACAATTGTAAAACAATTTTTTTCCCATTTTACAAAAAGAAACCAAAGTTATAAAAATAGGAAAGACTTTATCAGTGCCTTTTTTTAAATCATGGAGTTTTAATAATATCATAGGAAACACATGTATATTTTATAATTTGTGTTTCTGAAGTTATATTTCTGAATGCACCCTGGTATTGCTTATATAGTAGTTTTAAACTTTCACTCTTTGGGAGCAGGTAATACCTTCACACAGTTCAGATTTAAAGCTCACACAAAGCACCTGGGAGGGGCGCTTCTTTGCCCTGACCTCTTGTCGTCTGGATGCCCTGCTAACACGTCCGTGGCACACTAGTTTTTGTGTTCCTGCGGTGCTTGTGTGTGATGATGAGCGGTGATGAGCCTCTTGGTTCTTCCAATCCCCTTGTCCCCATAGTTTATGTGATTAAGGTCACCTATGTTCACACTATTCTGTGTGTCGCTGTTTTCACTCAACAGTTTGCAAGTCCATTCTATTCAGCTCAAGAGTTTTCTTGTCCTCTGTCTTTTCAGTCATGTATATTGCCCACTGAGCAATACCAGTGCTTTACTTTTTATATGTTATTTGTAAATGTTTTATTCTTTTTTCTAATAGACAGTGAATAGTTATATGCATTTAGAATATTTCAAAAGTATAAAGAAGTAGAAAAAAATAGAACTAAAAAAATAAAAGAAAAAATAGAACCCACCTATTATTCCTTATAAAAGAAAACCACAATTGAGGTTTGTTTCCAGCGTGGTTTTTTGGCTATCATGGTATTGATTTTCGCATAAGGGCAAGACAAATGTCATCCAGTTTTATGCAAAGAAAACTGAAGCTCAGGTTTTACAACTGTCAAGGTGACACAATTAGAAAGTAGAAAGACAAGTCCTGTAACCTTGATCTTTCTTCTCCTGGTCCTGTGGTCCTGTGCTTGACTCCTTGGAGCATTTTGTGAAGTAACTCAAGTTGTTGTC